CGTTTTATCTTAATAATCTCTAACAGGCATGGTTTTCATACTACTTATCTTTAGTGTATTTTGGAGGCAGTACTTACTCCCTTAGCTAAATTCTACTTTATGTGACTTAATGCCTCTTTAAGATTTGGTAGATCCTGATATAGGATCAATTCTGTCACCCACAATTCTAATCTTCTGTAATTGTTTAACAATAGAAAGCTACTGTTCACAGGGGGTATCATTTACATACTCCAAACAATCACAACAATCAAAGCCAGATGGACCATAAAGCTAAATGTTCAATTTTACAAGTGAAGAAATTCTGGAAGAGACTAGAGAGACCTGGCTTCTCTTACTTTGGCAAATCTTCGTTCCATAGTACAATACAAGCACTACAGGCACCAGCATTGCACAGTAAACTCAACAAGAAGGGCTTTTCTAAACACGACCTCTCTCCCAGTGCTCTCCGTGGATGCAGAACACAGAGTTAAATTATTCAGAGACTGCTGTTTTAGCGCAGGGAATTACAAGGATCACATAGATACCATGGAGAACCAAGCAGAAACACGCTGAACTCAGCAAGTGGCCACTAGCTCCGACCCAAACAAGGGAGGACCCAGCATATGGCTTCCGGTATTTCAGCCAGCTTCTCCACCTGTCTGGGGACAGTGGCGCATCACTCACCACGGCCTGCCACTTTTCCTTCTCCGAGGACAACTGCCCATATCTCACCATGACCTGGCTGCAGAGCTCAGCCATGCTCTCCGCACATGGAGCCCACAGTGCAGCCGAATTTGGCCGAACTTCTGAATTGCGGGAGAGACCACCGGAGCCCGGAAACCGGAAAAACCCTTCCATCTGAGTTGCAGTTCGGAGAAAGGCTCTGATTGGCTCTTTTTGCCGGAGTGACATTCATAGTGAGCAGAAGGAACACAGCACAATGGTTCTTAGGTGGAGCTTCCTTTCTAAGCACACCCCTATCTCAGAGTTCCTGGAAGATTTGAGCAAAATTTCCATGTCTCTTGTTAATGTAAACCTGTGGTTTCTGTACTCAAATGAAGTATACAAATTCAGAAGGAGGCTATTCAGGCAATGTTTCACTGATCAAACACTTGGTAACTCGAGATTATAATAAAATCAAGTACAGTGTCATTCCCTCTAATAGGTTGAGTTTTCAGGACCTGAAGCAAACCCTTCTTCACTAAAGGCCATGGTTGCAGGACATTACTAGAGCTTCCAAGCATATTCTTGTTTTTAAAGGAGATCTATTTTCCCTCGATATAGCAGGGTCTCAGAGAAACATCTCGAGGCCCATGCAGGTTGCTGTTTATGGAGAAGCCTAATTGCTCAAGTGTCATCTAGAAATAATTCATTTTCATTTGACATTTAGGTATAAAATTAATTTGGAGATATTTGTGGAGGTTGAGTACTGCGTCTCACAATCTGGGTGGAACTCCTATGCTGATCTGTACTGGATAAGAGCAGAAATGCTGGTATAAAGAGTTAATAACCCTTAGAAGATATTAAATGACACAAGATAGGATTCACCTGAGGGAGGGCTGCCTCTAAAACATCCCAAAGGCTAGTAGTATGCCAAGCAGGCCTGAATACGATCAGGATGCTTGCGTGTAAATTATTCATATTTTGTATCTACGGTCAATGGGCATTTTTCCATGGTAAAAACAGCGAATGGAATGCATATCGACTGAGAGGATAGACAGACTCTCTGAGTAAAGATCTTCCAATAGTGAGCTGCAGAATCCTAGTTTTAAAAGGGATTTCTTAGCTATGTTGTACTGGATGCTGGACACATCCAGTTAACAATTTTTTGGTAATCATTTGCTGGTTCTTAGTATGCCTACATACTCCCATAGAAATCCAAAAGGATAGAGTACTCTGTACTGTATATATTTGCTTTAAGGTTTAGTTGAGCACATTGTGCTTAGGGACTATGAATTCATTGCATTATGTCATACACAGCTTCTATTCAGCATTCTGGTACTTAATTGTCGCTAACCATTATTTTAAGACCAACAAGAGGTATATTTCTATTACTGGAAAGTTATGAAATGGTAAGTCACTGGATTAAGGTACATAAAGGATGATATTTAGAGACCATACATTCTTTTTTATTTTTTATTTTTTTCCATACATTCTATTAAGATTCACACATTCAGATAGCAAGTATTTCCAGGACAGGCTTTTGCACGCCAAATGAAAATTTATTGTGTTACCTCTGGCTTTTGAAATATTAAACAGTAGTTAATGGTAACAAAATGGTGAAAACAGATATTTTGGGTGTTTCAAAATCATTCTCGGAGGTTATTCTATTATGCTTAGTGTGACTAACACAAAAAATATTCATCTCTTTTTCCTTGAAGTTCCATAAGGATCAAGAGGCGGGGATGATGGGCGTTAGTCACTTTTCTTATTCAAGGAGGACGTAGAGACCCCATACAATGAATTGAAATATTTTTCAATCTACAGCAAGGAGAGTCAATGTGGAAAAGATTTTGTGTAGATGTCAAACGAACCCACTGTACATATAGCTGCACCTTTGACTCATCCTAACACTGGTGGACAACTGTGAAAAGATGGGATAGAAGAGTCTGAGTTTCCCCTTTAACCCAAGTGGCCCATGTGGACTAGCTGCTCAATTTGTCTTGAGAACATAGAAAGAAAAATGAATTTGGCCATCTGCATGATCTTCAGCACTCAGGAGGAATGCTTAAACAAAGACTGAACCAATGAATTGGTCACAACACAAAGGATTGCACTCCACAAACATTAGACGTGAATCTACACGAGGTATTTAGACAACCAACCACAGTAATATTTTCCTCTCCACACAAAGACATTTCCCAGAAGTGAGACTTCACACTTTGCCTCAATAAGCATTAACTCAGAATAAGTTATAAGTGTTATTTAGGAAGAAAACACTGGGAGGATAGCTCAGAAAAAGGAAGAGAAACAGAGACAGTGTAAGAGACAGAGAGGAGAGAGGGTGACAGAGAGTTATGAGAAAAGAGAAAGAAAAGAAAGGAGAGAGGCCCAGATTTGCCTCTTCAGAAGAAATGCAGGCAGAAACAAAGGTGTCCAAGGTGAGCTTGCCCCAGGGAGAAGAAAGAGACTGGGAATGGATGGAGCTTGTCTCCTAAAGGGACAGGGTACTGACAAGGAATGTTGATTTCTCAAAAAATTAAGAAACAACCTACTTCAAGATCTAGCAATTCCATTTTGGGGCATATACCCAAGGGATGCTTAATTATACCACAAGGATGTGTGTTCATAGCAGCATTATTTTTCATAGCCAGATCCTAGAAAAAAACTAAATGCCTGTCAGCCACAGAATGGAGAAGGAAAATGAGGTACATTTATAATTGAGTTTATTTCAGAAGAAAAAACAATGATATCTTGAAATTTGTGGGTAAATGGATGGATCTAGGAAATATCATGTTGAGTGAGGTACCCCAGGTCCAGAAAGACAAATATAACACGTACTCACTCATGAGTGGCTTTTAGACATAGAGCAAAGTTAAACTAGCCTGCAATTTACAATGCAAGAGAACATAGACAACAAAGAGGGCCCCAGAGAGACATACATGGATCTAATATACTTGGAAAGTAGAAAATATTAAGATCTCAGGCTGGCGAAATGGCTCAGAGGTTAAGAGCACTGACTGCTCTTCCAAATGTCCTGAGTTCAATTCCCAGCAAAAATATACGGTGGCTTACAACATTTTGTAATGAGATTTGATGCCCTCTTCTGGCCTGCAGGTGTACGTGCAGGCAGAACACTGCACACATAATAAATAATAAAGAAAACATTAAAAAAATCAATATCTCCCGATAAATTGTGAATATGCCTACCATGCGAGAGGGTAGAAAATGAGGGTACAGAAAGGGAAGAGAGCAGAGAAAAATATATAGATCAATGAAAACAATTAAAAACATGAAGTGACAAATGGAAAGTAATGGGGATATGTATTTGAAAATGGAACACTAAATAGAGTATGCAAATCTACAGCACATCAAGCTATGTCGTGAGATATAGAGTTGACTGCTGAGTATCTTACTTCATTATATATCAACCAAAGAATATCTGGCATTGATTATTCACATGGTATATTTATTATTCCTTTATTAACGTATTTAGTTACTTACTGTATATAGTTACTAGATTCTCTAGTATAAAGTATTTTAACATTAATTACATTAAAGCATATTATATCACATGTACAGAAAAGGCGAAAATAAACATCCATAAATGCTTACAGCTGGATAAGGTAATTAATATAGTGGAAGAGCATTTGGAAATCTAAAATGGTTACATCATTTTTGTAAAAAAATTTGTAGGGCTTCCCTTCATATGAGTTTGCAGGTACAAACAAAAAAAGAACATAAAAATGCTTAGACAGATTGCTGATTTTGATAGAATATTTTTACCACATACAATAACAATAGCAATGTGTAACTTAATAATGAATGTAGGCTGAATATGTTGCCAAATCTTCTACATTTAGATTCCCTTTGATATTGGTTTTGTTTGTCCTCAAATAGTACTGTAAAAAGAACAGACTTTAACTCACTGATTATACACTAAAAGTATATTCTTAAAGAAAAACTACCATGAAATAGAAAATAATTAGTACAGTGACAAGATTTATCGAGGTTCTACAGTACATTTTCTCATGACTTCAAAGACTTCTGCTACATACAAATGTTTAACCACATTGATCATAGTCATACGTATTCCTCAAGTATGTATTTTTTTATGATTCTAAAGATTATTGCAACTCAAAAAGGCATCATTACAGTGACTGCATTCAAAGTGTTTCTCTGTAGTACGTGTTGTTATGACTTTGAAGATACCTGTGACATGTAAAAGCTTTACGACACTGATTATATTAATAGGGTTTCTCTGCACTATGTGTTTATTTTGCTCTGGAAGACTATTGTAATATGAAAAGGCTTTATAACACTGATTACATTAATAGGGTTTCTCTGCACTGTGTGTTTTCTTATATGCCTCTGAAGACCACGGTGAAACAAAAAGGCTTTACCACACTGACTACATTCAAAGGGTTTTTCTCCAGAATGTGTTCTGTTATGATTTTTAAGGTAACTGTGAAGTGTAAAAGCTTTACCACACTGATTACATTCATAGGGTTTCTCTCCAGTATGTATTCTTTTATGTTCTTGAAGACTACTGTGACGTGTAAAAGCTTTACCACACTGATTGCATTCATAGGGTTTCTCTCCAGTATGTGTTGTTTTATGTCTTTTAAGATAAGTGTTACATGTAAAAGCTTTACCACACTGATTACATTCATACGGTTTCTCTCCAGTGTGTATTCTTTTATGTTGTTGAAGACTACTGCATCGTGTAAAAGCTTTACCACATTGATTACATTCATATGGTTTCTCTCCAGTATGTGTTTTGTTATGACTTTGAAGAATGCTGTGACGTGTAAAAGCTTTACCACACTGATTGCATTCATAGGGTTTCTCTCCAGTATGTGTTGGCTTATGTCTTTTAAGATAAGTGTTACATGTAAAAGCTTTACCACACTGATTACATTCATAGGGTTTCTCTCCAGTGTGTGTTCTGTTATGTCTTTGAAGAATACTGTGACGTGTAAAAGCTTTACCACACTGATTACATTCATAGTGTTTCTCCCCAGTATGCGTTCTTTTATGTATTTGTAGTCGAGTCGCACATGCAATGGCTTCATCATGTTGAATACGTTCACATGCTTTCTCTTCTATAAAACTTCTTTCATATCTTTCAAAGTGACTGTTATAGAAAGTGTATAACTCATTAATATATTCAGAAGGTGACTTTGCACATATAAGAGCATTAAAACATTCATTACACTTTAAATCCTTATATCTGTATGAATTTATTTTAGCATTTAGTCTATCTTATTATGTACAGAATGTTCCTCAGGCCTGTACACCTCCATGCCACATGAGGGCATCAGATCTCAATAGCAATGGTTGTGGGCCACCATGTGATTGCTGTGAGTTGAACTCAGGACATCAGTGCTCTTAGCTTCTAAGACATGGTGTAAGTTTGAAGAGAAATCAGAACGTAAGCTTTTATCATGTCTTGTAATCTCATGTTTTCCCTTTATTGAAGGTTGCTGTGCATCTTTGAAGATGCCTTTGATGGAAAGAGCTTTTATTACATGGTTTACTTTTGGAACATCTTATTTTTTATGAGATATTTCACCAATGTAAAGAGAACTGGCAAAAGTCAGAGAATCAAAAAAACTTATATACAAGAGTGCGAGTCATATTACATTTACAAAGTGACTCATGACACACAGAGGTGGCTACAACACCTAGTCTTCACCTAGCAAACAGTACTTTCCTAACAGACATTGAGGTGTATGGCTTTTTGAGAATTTAATAACCATCAATACACTTTAAGCTTGTTTCTTTATATCGCTGCATTTCTTTAATAATCCAGGGCACATTTAGCTTTTCTCAAACACACACTTAAATAATCTTGCTTACTCAAGTTACCTTCCAAATCCTCTAGACCTTTGAGAATGCTCTTCAAAATTGTGATCCTCCCAAGTGTATCCTAAAAATAATACCAGAAAATATGTGATATGTGATTGGAAATTGTGCAAAATTTAAGTTATTATCTTCAATGAACCTTAGCACCATGAATGATTTATTGATCATATTCTTTCTCTTTCTCAATCCACATTACAG